TGTCCGCGCGCGCTGCGGACTCCTCTCACTGTCTGAGAATTTAAATCCTTGGCGATCAGCGGAATTGATAAAAGTACGGACACGACGTCGACCGTGTGGGTGTCACGAGGGTTACCGTCGAGGCGGAAGTGGCTTCCTGGAAGATCAGCTGACGCCTGGGCGGTTCGTTTTGTTGCACGGTGAATGGAACATTGGGGACCCACTCCCGAGGCCCTCGAATACGGCCGGCATGCGGACGGCGGGAATGTCGGGAAGGAGGCGAAGGGTGGTGGATCGCGAGAGAGGAGGGGGTAAAGCAACGAGCACGTTAAAACAAGAAGATTGGAATAAAAGGTTGGCCTGGCCGCGGGAAGGTAAAGCCAGAGCGGGCCCGGAGGTGGAGAAGAAACGGAGAAGAAACCGGTGGGGGCGGGGCTCCGTCTGCGGATGCTGGTATGGAGCCCAGTCCTGCTTCGCACACCATCTTCCTTCATCTCGGACCCAACCAGACCCAACCCCCTTTCGAGGCAGCAGTACGTGGCCCATCTTCGGGTTCCTTTGCTCCCGCCGTTTCTTCTACTTTAACGTGCTTCTCTTCTTCACCTTTCTCTATCCTCCTTCTCTTCCACCTCCATCTCACCACCTCCTTCTTTTCATCCTCCTTCTGCTCCTTGACCTCCACACCCTTGGCCAGCGTCTCCAACTGTTCGGCAACACTCCGACGTCGTTTGTCTCGACGTCCCACTTCTTTGTTCTCGGCGATGGCTCGACAATTTCGCGGACGTTATCTGGGATTTAACGAGCCGTAACATGCACCGAGGGCAATTAGTATCATGCCAAAACAGGGAAATTAATATCGCTTTAATGTCGCTACGTTGATTATATACCACAGAGCGCATGCACGCGAGCGAAATCGCGGACGCGCGAGAATTAACACGGGTTTACCCACACGTTTAAGCGATAAGATACGAAATATGTAAACGAGGTGTAAGCGACATGCGCTTCGTAATTAGTGGCCATCGGGGCCAAGTGATGAAGGAGAGATAAAATAACATCGAGGCAGAACGCGGAGAGAGCACCCTTCACACGACGCGACTCATCATCTCCCATCAACCTGACTGGTTTCTCAGCTACTGGCAGCCCACTATTCATAACATCACATATGTGTGCGTGTGTTTGTATGTGTGTGTAAACCTTTTATTTGTGCTTATAAAAATTAATTGGATCTAACTTACCTACGTAACAACTAAAAGTATCGATAAATTTTTACAAATAACAAGGTGTGTTCCATTACACACGTTATGTTACAGTACCAACAGCAAAATTTGCCACATTGTTAGCCGTTGTTTTATTTTCCGATTAGATCGAGAACCATTATAATAAGTGGCCGAGCGATATTCCGAATGACGATGCTCCTTCAAACGATTTCCAGGAAACTTTCATCCTCATACCTCTTACAGAAATTGGAATTGGCCCGATTCCATTAAGGTCCTTTCTGTGAACTAAAGCCGCGGCTTCCCTTTTGCGTTTCACACGAACAGTCGTTTTCGGGAGCGTTCGGCGCGCGTACAAGCACTCGGTTGAACTTTTTTCGATTTCCGCCCCGCAATTCTTTTCTTCCTCCCCCATCCTCTCACACCTTCGCGCAACGCTCCTTATCCCTAATGTATTACGGGCCGGGTCATTTTTTACTCGAAATGGATTTTCATAAGACCCCGACATTCTCGGCTTTGGCCGACCGCGCGCACTCCTTCTCACTCCATCATATCCTGTATCTCTTCAACTCCGCCAAAATATTTGTAAATAGATGTAAAGTCTGGGAGGGGCCCAGGGGGTACCCTGCTGTGCGAACAAGGCTCCCCATAGCGCACTACGGCCGATATATCTCTCGGGCCCTTCACCATTCTTCCCTCTCTTTATATGAGACTCCTTCGCAGCCTTTTATACCTCCCTCTCCTCTAATCTTCTTCTTCTTCTTCTTCTTCGTCTTCTTCTTCTTCTTCTTCTTCTTGACTCCGTCGTCATTCTCATACTCTATTACCTCGGTTCTCATCGTGCAGTGCGAGGACTACACACACGAAAGCCAAAGGTGCATGAGAAAATTTTCGAGGATCGATTTTTGATTATAATCTTTGTATCAAGAATACGTTTTCAATATTTTGGTAACAGGTGAAATCGGAATACATATTCCTGCATATACATCCTATGTTTATATCGTTTATAATCTGTTTGTCAATATCTTTACATGGAAGCAGCATTATGAGGCAGAAATGTCTTATTTCAATCACCATAAAATGATCGATTCATTTTAAATGGATTTTTCCAAGCGAAGTATGACGGTGATCCTTCATTTTTATGTGCCGGAAGTATGGCATGTCGATCGAACGTTGACCATATCATGATATAGCCGAATCAGCAGCTTTGGTTATAAATTTTGTGAAATGTATTACACGAGGGAATTAAAGGGCATCTATTCAGCGGATCAGTTTTGCCGTTCGCAGAAGTTCATTTGAATCTCAGGGATTTTAATGGAAATTCATCCGACAGCCGTGCAATTCACTTGCGGCAATCGCGTGCACGTGGCGTGAAGGTTTCCACCGGCGCGGCGCAGCAAGAGGATCCAAGCCCATGAGCACGAGGAAATAAAAAGGAGGCGAGAGAAGAGGTGGAGAAGGAAAGGTGGGACCGGTCCCCCGAGGGGGACGAAAGGGCCGTCGTCTGCACTCAATAGGGGCTAATTGCCGCAAGGAAAGCTGCAAATTCGTGGACATTGTTAGCTCCGTTCCATTCTCGGTTAGTGTCGAACGGGTCTCATTGTGGCCGCGTGGATCGCGAGACCGATCTGCTTCGTGTCCAACGCACACCATCGAGTTACGTACCGCCATTGAAATACCACTGGGAATGAAAAGGGGTGAGATGGTAACTCCGCCGGAGTGTGTAAAATTCGTCGCGGCCGCAGCGGGTTCTCGCGATCGACAGGCTCCTTCACGATGGCTTCTGGCTCCCTTTACCTCCCTCCCCCACGCCACCAAGAGTCAATTGTGCCCTCTCCCGAAAATTACTTTCTTCCGCACACTCGGCTGGGAATAAAAAGTGCAAAAGGAGCCCCTTTGGCAACTCCGGGGAAGAGAACCCGCTCGATTTACACCGAGCGCGTTCACGCACAAGCGGGTTCGTCTGTGTCCTGATCAGTCAGCCGCATGATACTGCTCTGCGTGGGCGATTGCCCTCTGAGAATCAATTTGAACACGGCCCTCGGACGCTTCGAATGCCCTTCGACAATGCCGCGGCTTCGGTCAATGGGGACTCCCTTGCGTTTGGCTTCTCGCGCCCTCGATACGCCGCGTTCCGGATTAAGCCCGGGTTTACATGGGTCCTGTGCTATTGGGGCCCCTGTCTCACTGAGTCGGCTATCCATGCTTCGTTACGAGAACGCGTACCCTATTGATTCACTGGAGCACCGCCTTGGCTGTCGTCGTCGTCGACGTAAAGGTAGACAATAAGAGAGAGCG